TTCCTTCCTTCCTTCCTTTCGTGTGTGTGTGTGTGTGTGTGTGTGTGTGTGAATTCTGGGGCTTGAACTCAGGCCTTCCCACTGTGAGTTTAAGCTCTGATAAATAAGGTCTATTCTGAGTTTTTCAATTTTACTAATTTTATTGTTTATGTGGTACTGAGGAATTGAACCAGGGCCTCGTGCATGCTAGGCAAGCATCTACCACTAAACCACATTTCCAGACCTGAGTTACATTTCATCTATGAAGGAAGGTAACGCTCCCACTGTTTCACTGTGCATGTGGCTATCTATTAGTCCCAGCACCATTTATTGAGAAAGCTCTTCTTTCTCTCATTGTGGGATCTTGACATCTTGTCAGAATCAACTGAGTGTTGACGCATGATTTTATTTCTGGATGCTCAGCTCTGTTTTATCTATCATTTCGTTTATCCTTCTGCCAGTCATCACACTGTTTTGATTAATGTACTTGTGAGTGAGTTATGAAATTGTAAGTGTGAGACTTCCATCTTTGTCTTTCTTTGGTAAGATTGTTTTAGCTTTCTGGGTCCCTTTCATTTCTTTATAAATGTAGGAACAGCTTGTCAATTTATGCAAAAGAGAGAGAGAGACAGAGAGAAAGAGAGATGGGAAAAAAAGACAAGGAAAGAAGAAATCTAGAGCTTGGTGCTGGTGGCTCATGCCTATGATCCTAGCCACTCAGGAAGCTGAAATCTAGGGATGGAAGTTTAAAACCAGTCCCCAGAGAGAAAAAGCCTGGGCAGAAAACTTGAGATTCATATTTCTAATTGTCCAGCAAAACAACTGGAAGTGGAGATGTGGCTAAAAGGGTAAGTTGTCAGCCTTGGGCAGAAACATTCAAGCAAGATTAGGAGGTCTTGAGTCCCTAGTACTTACCTACCTACCTACACACACACACACACACACACACACACACACACACACACACACACACACCACATGGGGATGCACACATGTGCATACCTGCACACATACAATGTGGCAGTTTGAAGAAGGAAAACATGTTAATGTTGAAAATAAAAATAAAATAAAATAAAGAAATAAAATGGATCCTGAGGTCTAAACAGAGCTGATAGCTTTTGCTCAGAGGCTTCAGAGATGAGTTGGATCATTGTCATGAAATAAGGACTCCAGGCAGACAGAAATAACTCAGCAAAGCTCTGGGGCGAAGAAAATGTAGGTTGTGTTCATGAATTCAGAACAGAAAATAAATCTGTAAACAAAAAGATAAGCCTAAATATATAGATAAGTGGTTTGGATTTGGAAAGTGCTGGATTAATGAAATGTTTCATATCATCATGTGCTACTGCATGTACACTTGGAACTGAGTGAGATTTAGAGTTGATGCCTCTTAGGTCCCTTGAGAGAAGTAAATGTCAAGGCTAGAGGTCAATACAGCATCACGTGGGGACATAAAATAGGAATCAGAGATATATGAAAGACTGACGATAACGAAAACCATTACAATTAAAGCAAGTATCAAAGAGAGCAAAGGATGGGAGATTTGCCAGCTTTGGATTAATTAAATTGCAGCAAAATGAAACAATCTTTCTCCAGTGCAGCGAGGCTGTAATGCTATCCCATTATGATTCATTCCAAATTCAACTTTGATCCATTTGGTTGGTTAAGAATGAAATGAGGGTTACGTTGCCAATAGAAGATCGTCATTGGTCTCAAAATTACTTAAATTGAAGGTATTGTTCTTACTTATACCTGCTTTCTGTGATCTCAGAATTGGTATTAATAGGATTTGAATATGACTAACTCTTGAATTAGGATTGTAACAATAATTGTAACAATAATTTACAAAAATGTAATCAACAAGGTCTATGTTTCAAGCTTTTGATCTTTGCTTGTGCCCTGTGTTTGATCGCTAGGGCAAGGGAAGAATGACTGCTCTTAAGTGAAATGGACAGGAATGAGAGGTATTGATCGGGTTCTTCCTGCCATTGATTGTGTAGCCGTCATTTCTCCAAGTAGTGAATCATGCTGACAGGATGCATTACATTTAATGCATTTTTCCGTATCTAGAAGATTTGTAATTGAAGCACGCTTGCCTTTTAAGAGGAAGCTCTGCTGTGTTCTACAGCCATTGAAATCTTTATCCTGACTGGGAAAGTTAGTATCTCTGCTACCTAGAGAGATTTGAACATGAAGCTCTCAACTCCTCTTTGCTTTGGACTCCTGACATTTGTATCTGGGATGATCGTTCTAGAATCAGTGCATGGACGGCCATATCTCACCCAAGGTATGTACACAAAAATCTAAAATACTACAGGTAGGCAGATGATCCTTATCTTACTATGTACATCACTCTGATTTTTCTGCCATTAGTGAAGTAAGGTTCTATGGCATTAATATAAGTCAGTTGCCAAACATTATTTAAGTAGTTGTTGTTCTAAATTAAATGTAGTCTAGGAAGCTCTCTCCTCAAGTAAATTGTACCAAAATAACTTGACCCAATATTGTATTAAATTATTCCCTAGTATACTTTTTTCCCCTAATCATGAGTAAATTGCTTTGAACATTTCTGAATAAAGATCAGGAATGTATAAATAGTAAAATAGCCAGTCATATAATCTTTGCATATTTCAAAAATACATCTTGATGAAAGAAAAAAGATATTTTTTATTGGATGAGACTATTAGTGAATTCTTGTGAAATGAGAGCAACTTGGAGACTAATAAACAAAGATAAAAATATATTTGCATAGAGAATACATAGAGAATAATACATGGAGAAAACTCCATGTAACTAACCTTCAGGAGGGCAATGCTAGCACACAGCTTAAATACTCACTAGATTTGGCTAAAGTGTAGCAAATTCATAGTACTTACATTATACAAAATAATCTGATCAATCTATAAAACATAAACTTCTATAAAATTAGTGAAATTAAATTGTTGCTTTTATTACAATGTCCAAATAATTTCTTACAATTATCAATGCTCTTTACAGTAGAAGTAGATCTTAATATAAGATGTGGAGTTAGTATTTGTACTAATTCATTATAAACTAACAATTTAGCCACATTGAAACCTGTATACATTTTTTATGTTTTAAAAATTGTGACTTAAATTAATACCCCTTCTATGCTGAAATTCTGAGTTTTTTGCTGACTTTTTTTACTTTCAATTTACAGAAGGGATCTTAATGGAATATAATAAATCTTGTTTGAGTTACACTAAGTAGAAAAAAGGATCAAGCTTCCCACTTTTGGAAGGAATTCAACCTTATTAGGCTTTGTTTCCTACAAAGTGGTTTTATAAGTTAATGGCTGTCATTATGCAGTGGAAAGAAATTTGCATGGACTTCATTATTTATGGTCAGGGATCATCTCATTGTAAGGCGAATCATAACAGAAACCTGAATAAAAGGCTAGACTAAAGAACCTGAATTTTTATCCATGACGCCCTTTGTTCACACACCTCTTTGTTTACTCAAAAATTAATGCACTTGGTAGTGCTCTTTTGCTATCTCTGCAGGAGATTTTCCCAATGCTTCTAATTCAGTATTAACTTGAGAGAAAGAATATGGTTATTTGCTGAGGACTTTGCAAAATTAGTATGTGTTAATAGCAATTGTAAAATTAGTATGTGTTAACAATTGTGATTTCACATGCATTTGTGAAATAAAAAATAGAATTCCAACTATAAAGCATTTGCTTGATTATAATTAAATCACCCTTCAGAACTCAGAATCCCAGTGTTTTGCTTCTATCATTGTCAGCTAAAAAGAAGTATTTTTCTTCCACTGAGATCCTGCTTGATCTCATCGTATGCAAATGAGATGATTTCAGATCTAAAGTGTTTAAGACTAAAGAAAGCTTCTCTACATGCACACATTTTTTTCAAAGCTACAAATTATTTGATTTAGTTTTTTAACTAAGCATATATCTTCAGATAGACTATAAAGTTGGAAATGTCTAAACATCCCTCAGTATGGCATATAATATCCAAAACATATAATTCAATCCTGTTATCTTTTATCTAAAAAGGGCCACTCTCTGTGGATAAGCCTTAAACTTGGAAAATAGCTTAACACAAAAAAATGGAAGAGAGAATATCTTAGCCAAGAAGACTGGAAAATTTATATTTTGCTATACTATTATTTGGATTATCTCATTGTTTCTTTCTGATAAAACTTCTTGTCTCTTTAGTTAAAAGTGTCTCATGTAAATGAAAGGCTAAATGAGAAGTTTGCTAAAGTTTTGTGCCTTGAGTAATAACGAATCAAAGTTTTCTGGCAGTTGCTTAAACAATCACTATTGGTTGTATGAGTAGTGCTACCATTCATGCCAGAGATAAACCTAAATTTGGCATTTAATATCACCTCCCCTCTGTTCAAAGATAGAAACATTAAAGGTAAAAAGTGGGTTTTTTCCTTAAAGTTATGTTGTAAATTAAAAATGGAGGCAAGAAACACAATTATTTTCTATGATTTTTTTCCTTTAGCTGACTATTTACTCTAGCATTGTGAAGTTTAAAAAATGTTGAAAAAAAGTCTTTTCTTCAATGATGATTATAAAAAGATGTCTTTCTTGTACAGCAGTGGAAAGAATTTGTGAGAACATAATTATGCAGGAATAATCATAGGAAGCAAAATTGATAAAGGCAAAAATTTATTGTCTTAAAAATGTTCCACATACATATGCAGAGAAATTGGCAGAGAAAGTAACTGTATATTAAGCAAACAAATTTCAGATTTCTAACTTACTAGTTAATTTCCTCCAAGTCTTATCACTTCCCTAAGATAAATGAGTTTGGTTTTGTTGTTTTGTTCTCACAGTGTAATATTCTCTTCCGGAAGCAAGAGAATAGAACTCACTGTCATATACTCTTTTTCCTCTCAATGAAAACATCTTAACGATTCAAATTTTCTATTTTAATGAGCAATTAGAATAAAATTGCAAATCATATCTTTCTTTTACATGAAATTATATTATGAGAATTTGTTATATAATCCATACTGAAAGCTATTAATATTTTAAATACTCAAAAATGAAAAAGCCCACACAGACCATTTATATGTCTATGATCTAAAGAAATTTCAAGACCAGAAGAACAACAAAGTTATTACTGATAAGTGAAGAAAGCTTTGATCCTGTCTATTGCCCCAAATCATCATTTTTTTCCTTCAGTAAGAAATTTAATTTAATTCAGCAACTGTCATGTTCCAGACACAGAGACAGATGATTTAAAGGAAGAGTCCAGTCAGACTTTGAGGCATTACTCTGCCTGCAACCATACGTCTGCCACTCCTAAATTTGATCCTCCTTAATCTAGCTTCTGACCACACTGCCACAGCAGGTATGGAGAGTCAGGGAGAGAGGAAAATTGTCTAATAGAAATGGTGTAATAAACTTCTAATTGCTGGGTCACCTTGTTAAAGTTTATTGCATTGTACTAATTAGTATTTCAATGTTGTTAACAGAAAAGGGTCATTGCATTTCATCACTGAAATACAGCTAGTTTTTCCAGTTTTTCTACTCCAGTGTTGAGAGAGTTGGGGACCTGAGCAATGAATGGCTGGGATGTACACTGAGAAAGATGGAAAGGTGTCAAATGGAAAATGTAGGCAGCATTCCAGTTCTCCACAAGGTTTCTTCAGAGACTTTGTAATCTCTGGAATACATATTGACTCATATTTAAATGTGTATCAAATAAAATCACAAAACCGAATGAGGATCAGAGGAAGTCTCTTGGGAAAAATAAGTGGGTTTCTTTTCTCTCCCACCCTCCCCTTCTTCCCCTCCCTCTT